GCTCGGGGCTTTGCCGGAGAAAAGCGCCAGTCTAGACGGGATCTTTTGGAAAATAAAGCCTTTTCCGGAAGATCTCTTATTCCTGATTTTAAGAGGACACTCCGACGAAGGGGAGGTGGGGGGGAATCGAATGGATATGAGCAACACATCTCGAAGAACAACAGTTACAGGTAAGTAACCGTTCTTTTCTTCTTCGAGTGGTTGCTCACGTCCATTCGAATAAGGTGACTTCCAAGCTAACCCCACTATACGGAGGAGGGGTCGGAGCACCCAGAAAAACAAGCAAACAGGAGTTGAACAACCCAGAACATATTTATTCAACTAACGGAACTAAGAAAAACTGATCGAAAGATGCAATATGGTACAGAAAAGAAACCCAGTCACAACACAGAGCTGAGGACCGCAGAACCCAACCCTGCGTCCTTCCTGGCCTGCCGTGTCAACGCATAGTGTGCCGTAAAGATGTGGACCTATGACCACGTGGCCGCCCTACAGATTTCGGTAATCGGAACCTGAGCTCCAAAGGCTACAGAGGACGCCTGCGCCCTGGTGGAATGTGCTGTAACCTGGGGCGGAACTTTCCGGGCCAAGTCGTAACACTCCCTGATACACCCCACGACCCAATTGGACAGCCTTTGGGTCGAGATAGGGAGCCCTTTCATTCTGCCAGCGAAAGCAATAAACAATTGCGTGGATTTACGAAAGGGTTTTGTCCTATCGATGTAAAAAGCTAGCGCGTGTCTAGCATCCAGGGAATGGAGCACTTGCTCTTTAGGTGAGGCATGGAGCTTTGGAAAGAAAACCAGGAGGTAAATTTCTTGGGACAGATGGAATGGTGACACCTCCTTGGGGAGAAAAGCCGGGTGAGGACAGAGTCTCACATTATTCTCCGAGAACACCAGGTAGGGCAGGTTAACAGTTAGCGCCCTCAGCTCGGAGACCCTGTGAGTCAAAGTGATGGCCACAATTAAAGCAACCTTCATAGAAAGGTGCTTGAGGGAACACGTGGCCAATGGCTCAAAGGGAGGCGACACAAGCCTCGACAGCACGAGGTTAAGAACCCAAGCAGGGAGAGGGGGTCTAACTGAGGGGAACAACTTATCCAAACCTTTAAGGAATCTTTTAACCACAGGGTCAGAGAACAGAGAGACTCCTGCTGATCCAACATAGAAGGCGGAGAGTGAGGCTACGTGCACCTTAATGGAGGAGATAGAGAGTCCACTGGACCTGAGTTCAAACAGGTAGTCCAGAATGGACAGGACAGGTGCACAGGACGGGTGTACCCCCCTTCTGGATGCCCAGTGCGTAAAACACCGCCACTTGGCTGCATAGGACCACCTGGTGGACGGCTTCCTGCTACCTAGGAGGACCATTTGCACCTCCTGGGAACACTCCCTTTCTGGTTGTGTCAGCCACGGATAAACCAGGCCATCAGGTGGAGAGAGCTGAGATTCAGGTGAACCAGCTGCCCCCCGTCCCAGGGCTGGGTCAGGAGATCCTGATCCGGTGGGAGCATTATGAGCTTTGCACACAGCATGTCCACCAGGATAGGAAACCAGAAATGCCTGGGCCACCGACGGGCTATCAGAATGAGCGTGGACCTGAAGGTCTTGACCCTGGTCAGAACCCTGGGAATCAGGGGAAATGCATAAAGGAGACTGGCCGGCCAAGGCATGGTCATGGCATCTCCTCTGGAGTGCTCCCCCAACCCCAGTAGAGAGCAGTAGCTCTGGCACTTCGTGTTGTGTGCCAATGCAAAGAGGCCCACTAGAGGACAACCCCACCTGAGGAAGACCTGATCTAGGGCCGTATCTTTCTGGGACCATTCGTGGGCTCCAAAGGACCTGCTCAATACATCGGCCAACAAGTTTTTGCACCCCAGCAGGTACTCCGCCTGCAAGTGCATCCCATGCTTTATGCAAAGGTCCCAGAGCAGCAAAGCCTCACGGCAGAGGGGAGATGACCGGGCTCCTCCTTTTTTGTTGATATAAAAAACAGCTGCCGTGTTGTCTAGACTCATCAGGACTGAGAGGCTGACAGCCTCGTCAGGAACGCCTCGCAGGCTCTCCTGCCGCCCTGAGCTTCCGGACATTTATATGCAGAGCCCGCTCTGCAGGAGACCACAAGCCCTGGGTCCTGTGACGCTCCAGGTGCGCTCCCCAACCTAGATCAGAAGCAACCGTGACTAACGTCACTGAGGGGGGAAGCACAGTGAACAGAACCCCGCTGCAAACCACCACCTCCTGAGTCCACCACTGTAAGGAGGCAATCACCTCTGGAGGCACCGTCAGCACTGTGTCCCAGAGACCCCTGGACTGGTCGAACACCTTCGCTAGCCAGGCCTGCAACGGTCTGAGTCTCATGCGAGCGTGGCGCACCACATACATACATGCTGCCATGTGCCCCAGCAGCCTTGAGCATGCTCAGGTGGTCGTCATGGGGAACCAGGTTAACTGGGAGACCAGGTCCACTATAGCCACAAATCTGTTCCTGGGGAGGAAGGCTCGTGCCACTGTGGCGTACAAGAGGGCCCCCACAAATTCTAGCTACTGACAGGGAGTCAGTGACGACTTTTCCTTGTTCAGCATGAGGCCTAGTATCAGGAAGAGAGCCCTTTTGAGGGATACATGGGCCTCTACTTGTTCGTAGGATCAGCCACAAATGAGCCAGTCGTCGAGGTATGGAAAGACGTGCACCCCCTTTTTGCAGAGGAATGCTACATGACCGACATGCATTTTGTGAAGACCCTGGGTGCTGTTGACAGGCCAAACGGGAGCACCGTAAATTGAAAATGACAGCGGGACACTATAAAGCAAAGAAACCTCCTGTGGCTCAA